TGGGAAACTCGATTTTAAAAGGAGTATGATGGTCTCATTCAGGAAGGCTTTTCCACACAAATGGAGTTACTGCAGGAGCCCAGGCTGCACTTCCACAGCCCAAGGTACAGCAATGCCCACTCCTCTTACGGGCCCAAGTGAGAGGGCCTGGGACTAACCCAATCCCACAGTTTCTTGCCAACAGGTATACACCGAACAAAACAGGACACATATTTAGATGTAACAGTAATTGCCAATGGACAAGTTTCAGATTCTGACAAAAGCAAGTTAGAAAATTATCATTAAGATTGCCCCCTCCCAGCTAGGGATGGAACTGACCAGGCAACCACAATCACCAGCATGCACATAGGCTGATACAGGTGATGGATAGAACCAGACCCTGTATTGGCTGACACATGCAAGAGTCAGGTCTGGGAACATCCCAGGTGAGGTTTCCTGGGGGACTCCCCAATTTGAGCACTGGACTCAAAACTCCAGGCACAGGGAGAATCATAGGATTTGTAGTCTAATCTTGGAATGCATGTTTCAGGATTGGGTCTCTTTGATTGCTGATGCCTCTGCAGTGGACAGCATGACAAGGTGCATAAGGTGGACATGATGGCCAGTTCATTTGAGCCTAGAGAAAACTGAGTGCTATGTCCGGAGATGGAGAACAGAACAGATTGGATGACTCTCTTGGTCAAGTTTTGGCAAGTGTCTGGGTGAGTGGGTAAGGTACGGTGGACTCTGTTAGCCAATGGACCTTGTAAAGATTTTCTCAACCTTGGAGCAGTGAAACTAACAGTGTCTCAGAACTACCAAAACCACTCAAGCAATATTCTCAGAATATTCTTTTCCACATCAGGGTTTCCAAGAAGACATCAAGGGGACATCCCCAACCCTAGGTTCTGATGATACAGTCTGGCAGCTGGGAGCAATTCTCTACCCCTCTTGCACTCTCCCTCATCCCACACAGGAGAAAAAGGGAAGGAAGGGAAAATTGGAGGCATTTGTCCTATCTACTTTCCCCTATACCTTGACCCTCCCCATCCCACTTAGTGATTCTCATGGGCCTGCCTTCTTGTCAAATACATAAATAAAATTAAAACTAAAATAAAACAACAAAAAAGACTGCCCCCTCCCTTCACAATAGTTCATGTATACCACTGTATTTGCTCCATGGAGACAATATGTTAAAAACATAAACAGAATCTTGCCTAGACTGCAAGACCTCAGTGGTTTGGTCTCTCTCTTCCAGCCCCTGCCTTTGCTGGGAGTTCTCTACCTCCTATTCAAAATAAACGTGGCTTCTTCTCTTCTTACCATGTGTTCAGTATGACAGTCATCATAGACACCAACCTGGCATCATCTTACCAGATTTCCTGCAACACTGTTTGGTCATGTCAGTCACCATAGGTAGTGCCAGGCACAAGAAGCCATTGTCCTCTATAGCATGGAGTGGCCAGAAAATCACAAAGGTAATGTCCTCAGAGCAATGCCTCTTCCTGGGGTGTGGACTGAGGGTGGAGAAGCTGCAAGGCTCATGGAGCTTGAAGGGACTTCTGAGGGCAGCAGCTGACAACTGTGTCGGCACAGCTGTGGTCCTACCACCACCCAAATGGAAACCAATCTGGCACTTCACCATGGCATGCTTGCATGACTCCGTGGTACTGAACAAATGCTGAGACTGGGCTGTGGTCTCAAGAGACTGAGAGTGATTATGAGATCTGAATGAGAAGTTTACCTAGGAAGGTACCTGTGTGACATTCGAGTTGTCTGGTAAACGCCTTGTCCTTTTTAGTAGGGGCTTATTGGTGTCTCTTCAAAGGACAACAGGGTGTGCTGCTGGCTTCCTTCTGATGGCATTTGGTAATTATGTTCCCTCAAAATCTTATTTGCATTGGTATTAGATCTTACTCGTATTTTTGGGCAGCCTATGCTGGGCTACAGACCTTTGAGGCAAGACACATGCCTTTATTCATCTGGAACCCAACAAACAAGCAGGTTAACAATCTCTCGACCAAATATTTCCCAGTATTTCTGAACGAACAGTAAAGATTCAACCTAAATCTTGAAGGGGTCATTGCAGCTGATGGCTAGTAAGGCAAACATGTGAAAGAGAAAGAAGCCTAAAGCCCTGGGGATGGGAGAATCCCCTGCAAGAAACTGGGAAAGACTCAGTACAGTGAGTGCCCAAGAGGAGGAGGCGGATTGTTCAAAGATGGGCAGAGGGGCCTTGCCCAGTCTGCTGAAGGGCATGAGTTCCATCTTCACGCAATGGGGCATCATGATTAGACTTAGACTTGGAGAGGATCATTGTGAGACTTTGGCAGCAATGTGATGGGTAGCTGACACTAGGGAAGAAGGCTGGAGATGGGATTGGGGAGATGGTGGAGGAGTCCCTTGCAGTCAGTAACTCAGGGGAGTGATGAGGGATGTCTGAGTGCTGGTGGGGAGACCTATTTCTGTCCTTCTCCTCCCCAACTGTCAGTCTGCATCACCCAGCAACCCATCACACCCTCCTTCATGAGCAGTGCCCGAGGATGCTAAGCAGGAATGGAAAATGCCAACTGTGACACAGCTTCCCAAATTTTTACCTTCATTGGGTTACCCCAAAAAGCTAACTGATAGCTTCCAGAAGTCCTAGGAGCAGAACTTTCCTGCCCTCAGAGCTAAGCCTGTATGATGCTATAAACATTGACCCCTCTCATGTTTGTTTGATTTTTTTTGTTGTTGTTGCTGTTTTAAAATTTATTTGTTGGGAACCGCTTGCACCGTGGCACAGTGGGTTGAAGCTCTTGTCAGTAATGTCATTATTCTACATGAGAGTTGGTTTGAGTTCTGGCTGTTTTGCTTCCAAGCCAGCTTTCCTGATATATACCTAGGAAAGCAGCAGAGGATGGCCCAAGTGCAAGATATGTGGCCTAGCACGGACCACTGTGGCCACTTGTGTGGTACACCAATGCATGAAAGATGTTTCTGTGTTTCTCCCTATCATTCTTCCTTTCAAATGAACTAATAAATAATTTTAAAAGATTCATTTATTTGAAAATAGTGAGAGAAATAGGAGGGGGAGGAGAAGGAAGAAAAGGCAGAGAGACCACCCATTACTTCACTTCCCCAATGGTCATAATAGCTGAGTAAAAATCACCAGTTCTTTTAGTTTCCCATGTGGGTGGCAGGGGCTCAAGTACTCATGTCTTATCTGCTGCCTTCCCAGGCACATCAGCAGGGGGCCGGATAAGAAGCAAAATAGCCAAGACTCAGACTTCTGCACAAAAGGCTGGTGCTGCCAAGTGTTGGCATAACCTGCTGTGTCATGACACCAGCCCCTCTCTGAAATTGAGACAAGAGAAGAGGAAAAGAAGACCACAGCCAAGCAACAAGGCAGTGGTAATAGAGAATTCATGCTAGCAAAAGAGCAGGAACAGAGAGCACCTTGGGACTCACTGACAGGAGTTACACTGCACAAGGAGGCTCGGGTATTTGGAAAACTCATCCATAGATGCACGCTCGGCCTCTGGAGGAGGAGTGCCCCCTCCCCTCACTAGCATGTTCTCCATGGTATTTAGAAGAAGTAAATCCCTCTGGCAGTTCTGAACCTTGGCTGTACCTAGGAATTAACAGAAAAACTTCCTTTAAAAACTGCTGAACTAAAAAAATACAGATCACATTCCAAAAGATTCTATTTTAATTGGTGTGGAAGTGATCTGGGAATTTGTGCCTGGACACATCTCTCTGGGAATTTGTATCACTGCACATGCGGGCTAAGAACCGCTCCTCTGGGCCAGGTCAGCACCCTTTTTTTGTAAATGCTGCGGGAGTGAACAGCTCGGCCTCTGTGGGCTGCAGGGTCTCTGTTACAGCTTCTGTGCCCTGCTGCTGTACCTTGGATGGAAGCAGCCACCAGCTACACAGGGTGCACACCTGTGCTACAACAGCAGGCTGGATTTGGCTGGAGAGAAAAAATGCCAGTTCAGTATGGGGAAAATAGGAAGAAATACTAGTTTTAAACAGGCATTTAATTGAATGTTCTAGTTTCATTTTAGTAAAATGAGATACACAAACTATTTTGCTTCTAGGGAAGTGAAATGTTGGTGATTGGCAAATATTCACCTTACTGCCATACAAGAGCTATGTGTTAATAACTGTACCATGTGGACAAACTTTCCATTCAGAATCTGCCAACAAATGGTGAGGATTTAATGTGTTGCTTCAATATGAATTAGTCCCAACTTTGGGTAAGCCTGTCAGTGGGAGGAAGAAAGAAGTAAATTATGAAACTTTTATGTTTGACTTCTTAAAGAGACCAAGTGTGACTTTTGTGTTTTGAAGAATAAAATCCTTTAATGTGTACAAAGAAAAAAATAGCATTCAACAGCATACAGAAGGGTTAGGCCTAAAGGACAGACACCTGCTCCTAGAGCATGAGCTAGGACAGAAAGCTAAAAGCCAAATGACAAGAGGGTCTCTCTGCAGGATCATGGACATGAAAGGCCTTTTGGGGCTGGCACAGTGGGTGGAAGATAGTCCAAGTTCTTGGGCCCTTGTCACCCAGTGGGAGACCCAGGAGAAGCTCTTGGCTCATGGCTTCTGCCTTTCCCAGCCCTGGTTGTTGTGGCCATTTGGGAAATGGATGGAAGATTTCTCCTTATGTCTCTCCTTGTCTCTGTGGCTCTACCTTTCAAATAGACAGATAAATACATCTTAGAGAGGGAAAAAAATATGTCTTTTGTCATCTCTAATTTCTTCAGCTAGAATTCAGCCATAATTTGTGTTCTCTTTTCATTTTAACTGCACATGCAGATTCAGTCTTACCCTATGATCCCATCTGAAGCTGTAGAAATTCAGAGAAGGCAAAGTCCCACTAGAAAAGTGGATGTTTGCTGAGTCACGGAGCTTCTCTCCTATCATGCCTGATTTCACCCCTCGCTGTAGGAGAACAGTCCACAGACAGATATGCTACAAGGCACCCTCCTAGTCCTTAAGCTGCACAACACAAGGCACCATTGTGTCCCCACCTTTATCCTGTCGATGTTGGCTTCCATCTTCAGCTGCTCTACCAGCTTCCTGGCTTGTGCTATGCTGGCAGTGTTGTTGCTGGCCATCAGGGTGCTGGGCGGGGCTTCTCAAACACACTAGCGAAGAAAAAAGAAAAAAAAAAAGTGTCAGGATTACGTGAACCAGTAAACATGCAGGTTTACCCCAATAGGAGGAGCTCGAGAGAGTGGCTATAGCCAGGTCTGGATCCCAACAACACCTACTGCTTCTCCAGGGAAATAAAAAGTATAATAAATAAAAAGTATAATAAAGTATGTTTATTAAATCAAACAAAATAGAAGCATGTTTACCAAAGCAGAAAAATTTGTCCTGTTAAAAACCCAAGAAATTGAAGTTATCTTAATTTATAAAAACAAGTTGAATGTGGTTAGGGCCACAATGTGCATTATTATTTTTGTTTACTAGGTGCTACTATTACTATCAGACAGCACATGCCCTCAGAGACTGAGAAGTGAGAGGCAAATAGAGGGATGAACGGCTTATTTTAGACTTTCCTAGGATTTAAGACAGCAAATTTGCAAATGTTCTCATGATGGACTCAATCCCCAGCCCTCTGGCCAACTGTGACCATTCCAGCCTTCTACACTGCAGAGACCCTATAACAGGAGGCTGGGTTTTTCAGTACTTTCCCTGACCCCTTCATGTGAAAATACTTGAGTCACAGCCTGCTGCTTTACTCACAATTTCTCAGAAACTTCTGTAATGTCAAAGGGAAGTGATCACAAGCATTACACTGAGTTAAATACAATGGACCTGCCACTTTAGACATATGGGGATGAAACCTGAATGTTTTGGTAGTGGAGTTCATGAGATGGTTGCCTCCCCATCTGTATATTCCACTCTCTTCAACTTACAGCCCATGTTCACTGCTCTTCTGACCCCTTTCTGACCCCAGCATTTCCCTTTATCCATAGTTTTCACTTTGCAGTATCCTTTTTAAACTTTACAATGCCTGTTTCCCCCACATTTTGTTTGGGGTTTGCCCCATGTCGAGACGCCATGTGCCACTGCAGGATCATTTCTGTGAATGTGCACCCTTGAAGTCACTGACACTTGGATGAGCTTTGGTTTAAGCAGAGTGCATGGTCCCAGAAGCACCTCGAGTGCTGCCTCAGTCAGCAGTCAGATCTTGTTGTGGAGGTACTACAGTGACAACCATGACTTCTGCTGGATTCGCAAGAGCCTTTCACCTGGGGATGAAGTAGGATCAGGCTACCCTTCTCAAAACGGAAAGAAAACAGAAATCTTGGGAAGGGAGAATAACTCATGATGCATCACATACATAGACGTATCAATACACTCAACAATTTTTGTTTTAATTACCAAAAGGCAGAAGTCTATAAATAATCTCTTTTGATACTTATTTTCCAATAACTAACTCTTCAAGACAAAAGGAGATATTTTATATAATTTTCTACAAATATGCAAGTGCCTCCAAAGACAGTGCTACTTTTGAATGAGTAATGCAAGATAAGCAACCCAATGGTGGCAGTGCAAATTGGAAGATAATTAACTGTTCCCTCAGCTCCTTTACAGAGGATTCAGAGACAACGAAGGAGGAAGGAAGACAGAAGGAACTTTTGAAGCCACAGCACCTCTGAACTCTATTTTCACACACTTGGATATCAAGGGAATGAGACACACATCAACACAAAACATAAAAGGAGCCTTCAATGGCCACGATTTTGCTGGCCTGGCCAGGGCCCTCATCATCTTAGCTTGGCAAGAGATGTAACAGACTGGAACAATCCAGCAGAACTTCACAAAGCTAAGGTGAAAATCCAAACTCTCACAGGACAGCAGCCTAACTCTTGCAAAGGTGGAAGCAGAAGTGGGCAAGTCCTGGGCAGGGTTCTGTGAGGACCATGATTCTATCAAAAAATTAATTCATTCACCACATTAATATGCAAATGATCACAGAATTACCAAGTCCTCAGTGGGTCTGAGGGAGTTTAGTCAGCTGCTTGTTTGCCCTTTAATGGAAACACCTCAATGTGTCCATTCATAGAGAAACACTTTGCCTTCCAACACATTTCTTCTCTCCTTCAGAAGTAATAACAGACATCAAGAGAACCTGTGCTTCACCTGGATGTATTTTGCTGAATCGTATCTTCTCCCCTGTAGCTACCTACCATAGTTATATGACTAGATATTGGCTGATGAGATACAAGTGGAAGTGTCTTTGAGGAATTGGCATCCTTTGTCTCATCTCCCGACTGGTACTGGCCTGTAGGGCATTTACATTCACCGTGGCACTCCAACCTGCACCTCTAGAACAGGGATGGGGAACACACAGCTGATGAAATCACTGGGTCTGGCCCTGGCAAGGAAATCACAGGTGGGACTCAAAACTGAACAACTACAGCAATCCAACTACCATTTTATACAACCTGTGGATTGTGTTATAAATACCCAGTGGCCTTGGGCAGAAAAATCTCCTGAGTGTAGAGTTCTACGTAGAAGATGCTTGCCTATCTTCTAAGTCTGAAGCCCATTTGGACAATGCCTCACACACCCGTATTTTCAGCTACTCTAAACAGTGATTCACTGTCTCTTTTCTTTTTCATGAACATGTTTTTTCCTCATGTAAAATACATGAAACTTACTACCCTAATAACTTTAGATATGCAACTGCATGGAATTAAGTACATATATGCTGCTGAGGAGCCAATACTGCCATCCATAACCTACACTTTATAACTTGCAAAACTGAAACTCTGAACCCATTAGCCAAAAACTTGCACTTCTCCCCACCTGCCCAACTCCCAGCACCAACTGCTGCACTGTCTGTCCCTGAGATTCTGATGTCTTGAATGCCCTGCTGTACGGAGAATTACACAGTGTCTGTTTCTTGTGAATGGTTTATTTTACTTAGCACGATCTTCAAGGTCTACTAGTGCTGCAGTGTTGCCAGAATCGCCTCTTTTTTAAAGTTGCATGATATTCTGTTTTATGTTCATACCACATTTTCTTTGTTGACAGATTTATTATGAAAGTTGGAGTTACAGAGTAAGAGAAACAGGGGTGGGAGAAGAGAGAGAGAGAGAGAGAGAGAATTGGTTTATTTTCCAGATGACTGTCGACAGCCCGATCTGGTCAGGCCGGAGCCAGGAGCTTCATCTGGGTCTCCCACAGGGGTGGCAGGTCCCAAACACCTGGACCATCCTCCACATCCTCTACCAGGCCACCAGCAGGGAGCCGGATTGGAGATAGAGCAGTTGGAACACAAACTAGCTCTCACATGATGTGTCAATGTTACAAGTGCTGGTTTTACTGGCTGCACCACAACACCAGCCTCTATATTACATTTTCTTTATCACTCATCTGTTGATAGCACTTTGGTTGGTTTCACATTTTATTTTTCAAAAGCTAATAACCATTTTTCAATTAATTATTTGAGAGCTAGAGAAAGAAGAGACAGGCAGAGACATCTTCTGACCACCAGTTAACTCCACAAATGTTGCAACAAAAACAGGAGTCTGTAATCCAACCAAGGCCTCTCACATAGGTAGCTTAGGGACCCATTTACATGAGCGAACATTACCATTGCCTCCCAGGGTATACATTAGCACAAAGCTGGAATTGGGAGTGGAACCCAGGCATTTCAAAATAAGATGAGAGTACTTTAATTGGCATCTCAATCACTAGTCCAATGCTCTCCCCTGCTTTCATGTTCTAGTGCTATAAAAGGTACTGCTACGAACATGGGTGTACAAATACTTCTTTAGGGACCTGCTGTCAATTCTTTTGGGAGTATACCTTTAAGTGGAAAGGCTGGATCACATGGCAAATCTATTAATTCTTTTTTTTAGAACCACTATCCTGTTTTCTACTTTTGGATGCTTCATTTTACATTCTTACCAACAACATACAAATGTTTCAATTTTCCCCACATTCTCACCAACACTTTTCCCTAATCATGACTCAAGTTGAGCATCTTTTCATGCATATTTTTGGCCAGCTGTGTACCAGGAGAAAAGTCTATTCAAGTTCACCTCACAATTTCCTTTTTCTCTTTTGTTGAGCTTTAGGAATTCCCCTATATATTCAGGATATTAATTTCCTGTTAGAGATACAGTGTACATTTTTTTCTCCTAACCCATGGGCTGCCTTTATGCTCTTTCCATATTGCCTGTTGATGAACAAGCTTTAGATCTCTATTGGGGCCCCGTTTATCTATTCTGCATTTATGTTTGTGTCTCTTGTGCTACATACAAGAAACCATGGCCAAATTCAGTGCAGTAAATCTTTTGCCCTGTTTCCTTTTCAGGAATTTTATGGTTTTTGCTCTTACATTTAGGTCTTTGACCCATTATGAGTTAACTTTCATTCATTGTATTAGATACAACTTGATTCCTTTGCCTGTGGATATTCAGATGAACCAATACCATTTGAGAAGACTGACTCCTCCCCTAGAAGATTCAGATGTTGAATCATAATCCCCAATATGATGTTATTTACAGGTGGGCCTTTTGAGAGGTATTTAAGTCAAGAAAGCAAGGTCTTCATGAATGGAATGAGCCCTTATAAGAAAGGACAGAAGAGATGCCAGAATATTGGCTCAACTGGCTACTCCTTCACCTCCAAATGCTGGCATCCCATGTGGGTACCAGTTTATGCCCCAGCTACTCTGACTCATTGCTATGGTCTAGCAAAGCAGTAGAGGAAGGCCCCATGCCTTGGGGTTCTGCACCCACAGGGGAGGCCCAGAGGAGGCTCCTGGCTTCAGATAGGTTCATCTCTGGCCATTGTGGCCTTTTGGGGAGTGAACCAGTGGATGCAAGATCTTTCTATCTCTCCTTCTCTCTATAAATCTGCCTTTCCAATAAAAATAAATCTTAAAAAAGGACAGAAGAGAGGTGACCCCCTCTTTTTCTAGGGTGTGTTACTGATGGCTGCCCAGGGCAATGGAGGCTAGGGGCGGGTCTGCCCCGCCCCACAGGAGGAGGGGCCACAGGAGCCGGTTATGTCACCTACCTGGCGGGATTCCAGTTGACCAATGGCACACCTGAATGGACATTCCTTGCATAGTTGGGACACGGACAACCCCTTTGCCCTCCCACGTGTGTAGATGGGT